CGGGATACTCGGTGTCTAGTTTTGAACCCAGACTCTGCCAATGTGCCGCTTCCCCTATAAACCCTACACCCTACACCCTAAACAGACCTTCTGAGGCCGTTTCAAGGCGAGCGCCCTCCCAGCTGCACACGCACGCACGGCCGGCGTCTGAGCCTTCGGCCGCCCCAGATGTGGCGTTTAGGGTACCCGTTTGTGTAAACTTAGGGTTTAGGGTTTAGGGTTCCCGTTTGTGTAAACTGGGGGTTGTGGTTTTGGGACCCTTAAGAGCATGATGAATAGGTACCTCTCTAGGAACCATAAGGGAAATTTTAAAGTTTCCCAAAGTGCCACCTAGTGTAGTGGTGTTTGAGGCTAGTCCAGGGTCTTCAGCGCTCACAAGATAAGGAGGCACCATCGGTACCAACCCTCCAGCAGAACCTGTAAGGGCATGCCGCTGCCTCTACAAGGAGCCAGGATCACCCAGGGCCGATTACACGAGCTTCCCAAGTAAACAGCAGGAGTAATTACACAGGCAGGATTGAGGCTTTAAGGGTTTAACACAGGACAGCCCCAACAAGCGAAGGTGAATGGCCTTCCAGCATTCGGTTCAGAAGTGCTCAACTCGCTCTGCTCAAGCTTAGTGCCAGCGGTTTGCGGCATATCATAGGAAAGCTACAAAGGGACCACAAGGAACTAGTTTTACGATGTATTCATACTGCATCAATTAGACCTCGATGGCCAGTTCGCGTTTGCTGCTGAGCAAAAAATGATTGTCTGCACTGCTTTGGACGGCACTGAACGCCAAGTCAATTCAATTACATTTTTCGACGTGCCCTTTCGTCGTACTTGGCCCGACTAATTTTTTGCATCCCGCCTGGCTAGGACGAACCTACGATGCAGGGTCTATGTGAGCTGACAAGGACAGCATGGTCTCCACTTTGTTGGAGGTTCCAATAGCAAAAAGCTTCACTCAGTGAAGTGGTTCATGCGGCCATCTAGTCTAGGCCTTGCTTCGAACACACGCACATCCCAGCGCTCCACTCAATCACGCCTCGCTGCAGTTCTCACCAGCTATGTCCCATCATGTCGTTCTGTGCTTGATGTCATCCCACATACCGTATTCCCGACGAGATAGACATGCCAGGAGCCGCAGAAGACTGCACTGACTTGTCCAATTAGCCAAGACAACCGAACAGCACACTGAAACGACATTGGGGTCTAAATGCTAGACTCGTAAAGTCTCGAAAGTGCCATGATGCCGGAATGCCGAAATAGGGTCTGCACGAGCTATCTACACCAAACCACCCAAAAGCATACCAAACTATGCTGATCCATCCTGAAGCAGATACTAAACTGACTATACCATCAATGCTCTCGGACAGAATGTCACCGGGAGGATACACCTCCCCGTCTAAGACAGCTATACTGAACTAGGTGGCTCAAGTCTTTTAGCAGGCGGCCAACTTACTAGACAACTTGGAGGCAACCACCCCCGTATCAGGTTCACATCCTGTGATGCTTCGGAGCGCCGGAGTGCATGGGAATTACCAACCAGGTCGGCGTAAAAATGCCTTCAGGCCAAGTCCTATGAGGAAGTTGCACAGTGATATAAGCAGTGTGCAGAATACAAAAGCCAACGCTCGATTCATGGCATTAAGAGCGTCGAAAAGAGCAAGATCTGCAAATCGAGTGAGGCCATAAGCTACGACCAATACAAGGCAAGGGACAGCTGCTGCTGCCAACACCGCGAGGTTCTTAAGGAGCTCAAGACAAGTACTCCTTGGTCTCCGCCGACCAAGCCTTAGCAAAAGTATCAGGAGATCCTTGTTGGCTGGGACGAATATGAACCAAATCACCAATCCTTCGAGTAGAAGGGCAATAGCAGGATGCTCCCACGGCACCCAATAATGCTGAGCCCAGCTAGCAGAGACGTCCATGAAGGCCAGCATGATTGGGGAAGTCACTCCCAAAGCCCATGGAGTACTGAATACCTTCTGGGTAAGATCACGGTTCAAAATGTCTAAAACATTGGTGCGCACCGTGTCTTCGAAAGTTACCTCGCTGCCAAACCAAATCTTCACACACTCTTTCACGATCTTACGGTCGCACATCATACGTTCACCCGAAGGGCCCACATGATGTAGATCACAGCAGGAACTCCTTGTGGAATCAACGGAGATCGACAACAGCTGTAGCTTCATGGTGTCCAAGTCGCGAAAGTAGCTTCGGACAGTGCTGGCAGCCGGGACTGCAACCACAAACGCGCAGAAGACAATGGGCGACAGAAACTGCACGATGGCTCTTTCGTACTTGAGAGGTACTGTTGCGACTGGTATTGCAAGAGCAGCAAAAGTAAGAAAGATTGCGATGGAAAGAGGCCCCATGAAGATGGGCCTGACAATGAGGTGCTGCTGTTGTGACGTCTTGCTTTTCAGGAAAGCGGCAAGCTCAAACAAGCACCACCTAGGCTGGCTCTGCAAAATATTCGCAATTCTTGTGACCCCTCTAGAACCAAGAAAGGGAAAACACAAAATGTCCCAATGGCCTACCTAGCCACAACCTCTCAGTCCACGTTGGGTCCCACAGAAAGAGCATTCTGTCGGAATTTTTCAAAAGCCCTGCCAGGCTGAGTATGGCCTCCATCTTCAAGCGAGCGTCGCTTTCGCTGATACAAATACGGTCAAGGAAAACTGAAGTGCGTGGCTGCCAGAAAGTCATTACTAGACTTGCGACGACGAGCCCTGAAAATGTTGACCAACAAGACCACTGCCAACTGTTATCAGCCCATCCACGGTCAATTCCAGGAAGGGCTCCCAGACCAAAGAGCAACATCGTGCACCCCCCGGTGAGCAAAGACAACAATACTGCAGCAGTGCCGTTGTAGAGAGTTATAATGGCGAAGATCTTCTTCCAATGCCCTCCGTGCCAAGAGTGACTCCAAAATGTCGATATTCTTTGGCTCCGGTGACTCTTATGGTAAAAATCCACAGCAGATCCAGCACGCAATGCTGCAGCAAAATGCTCCAAGGCGCGAAACACCGGGGTCACCCTCAAGACCTCTGGGTTTACAACCTCCATCTTGGCAACGCTTTCTACCAGAGTTGGTATCATCGCTTCCATGTGCAAGTCCGTATCGGATGCCCTGGAATCCCCGCTGTGCCCGGGACTTGCTGCAGTGCCGTGACCGCTGCTCTGGCTGGGGCCACTGTCTTGCCTCTCGCACGGCACCTGCAAGTCCAGGATGGAATCTTCGCTTCTCGTCTGGCTCGGCCTTCCCATTTCTGCTGGGCGGCAGAAAGAAGCGGGTCATGCTATGTAGTGCTGCCTCTACAAGGAGCCAGGATCACCCACGGCCGATTACACGAGCTTCCCAAGTAAACAGCAGGAGGAATTACACAGGCAGGTTTGAGGCTTTAAGGGTTTCACTCAGGACAGCCCCAACAAGCCAAGCCTTCCAGCATTCGGTTCAGAAGTGCTCAACTCGTTCTGCTCAAGGTTAGCGCCAGGGGTTTCGGGTATATCATAGGAAAGCTACAAAGGGACCAGAAGGAACTAGTTCTACGACTTATTCAGAATTCTGCATCAAGTAGACGTCGATGGCCAGTTCGCGTTTGCTGCCGAGCAAGAAAAGACCGTCTGCACTGCTTTGGACACCCCTGAACTCCTGAACGCCAAGTCGATTTAACTACTTTTTTCGACATGCCCTTTTGTCGTACTTGGCCCGACCATGTTTTTGGCCGGACGAACCTACGATGCAGGGTCTATAATCTATATGAGCTGACAAGACTAGGATGGTCTCCAAATTGTTGGAGGTTCCAATAGTGAAAAACTTCACTCAGCGAAGTGGTTCATGCGGCCATCTAGTCTAGGCCTTGCTTCGAACACACGCACATCCCAGCGCTCCACTCAATCACGCCTCGCTGCAGTTCTCACCAGCTATGTCCCATCATGTCGTTCTGTGCTTGATGTCATGCAACACACCATATTCCCGACGAGATAGACATGCCAGGAACCGCAGAAGACTGCACTGACTCGTCCAATTAGCCAAGACAACCGAACAGCACACTGAAACGACATTGGGGTCTAAATGCTAGACTCGTAAAGTCTCGAAAGCACCATGATGCCGGAATGCCGAAATAGGGTCTGCACGAGCTATCTACACCAAACCACCCAAAAGCATACCAAACTATACTGATCCATCCTGAAGCATACTAAACTGACTATACCATCAAAGCTCTCGGACAGAATGTCACCGGGAGTATACACCTGATCGTCTAAGACAGCTATAGTATAGCTGCTATACTGAACTTGGTGGCTCAAGTCTTTTAGCAGGCGGCCAACTTACTAGGCAAGTTGGGGGCAACAGAAGTGCAGGGTCTAGGGCCTAGGGCATCAACCCTGGAGGATGGGACTACCCCCTATTAGGTTCACATCCTGCGATGCTTCGGAGCGCCGGAGTGCCTGGGAATTACCAACCAGGCCGGCGTAACAGTGCCTTCAGGCCAAGTCCTACGAGGAAGTTGCACAGTGATATAAGCAGTGTGCAACATGCAAATCCCACTGCTTGAACCGCTGCAATTTCAGCACCGAAAAAGATGTGATCTGTGAATCGACTGAGGCCATAAGCTACGGCCAATACAAGGACAGGGACAGCTGCTGCTGCCAACACCGATAGGTTCTTAAGGAGCTCAAGACAAGTACTTCTTGGTCTCCGCCGACCAAGCCTTAGCAAAAGTATCAAGAGATCCTTGTTGGCTGGGACGAACAGGAGCCAAATCACCAATCCGTCGAGTAGAAACGAAACAGAAGGATGTCCCCACAGCTTCCAAGTATTGTCCGGTTGAGTGAAGCTGGCAGAGACGTCCATGAAGGCCAGCATGATTGGGGAAGTCACTCCCAAAGCCCATGGAGTACTGAATACCTTCTGTGTAAGATTACGGTTCAAAATGTCCAAAACCTCGGCGCGTACCGTGTCCTCGAAAGATAGCTCGCTGCCAAACCAAATCTGCACACACTCTTTCACGATCTTACGGTCGCAAAACATGCGTTCACCCGAAGCGCGCACATGATGTCGATCACAGCAGGAACTCCTTGTGGAATCAACAGAGATCGAAGACAACTGCAGCTTCATGGTGTCCAAGTCGCGAAAGTAGCTTCGGATGGTGCTAGCAGTCGGGACTGCAACCACAAACCCACAGAAGACAATGGCTGACAGCAGCTGCGCGAAGTGTTTGTCCTCGTCACGGATAGGTACTGTTGCGATTGCCATTGCAACAGCAGCAAAAGTAAGAAAGACTGCGATGGAAAGAGGCCCCATGAAGATGGGCCTGACGATGAGGTGCTGCTGTTGTGACGTCTTGCTTTTCAGAAAGGCGGCAAGCTCAAACAAGCACCACCTAGGTTGGCTCTGCAAAATAAATATACGGAACTTTTGTGACCCTTCTAGAACCAAGAAACGGAAAACATACAAAATGTCCCAATGGCCTACCTAGCCACAGCCTCTCAGTCCACGTTGGGTCCCACAGAACAAGCATTCTGTCGGAATTTTTCAAAAGCCCTGCCAGGCTGAGTATGGCCTCCGTCTTCAAGCGAGCGTCGCTTTGGCTGATACAAATACGGTCAAGGAAAACTGCAGTGCCCGGCCGCCAGAAAATCATTACTAGACTTGCGACGACGAACCCCGAGAATGTTGACCAACAAGACCACTGCCAACTGTTATCAGCCCATCCACGGTCAATTCCAGGAAGGGCTCCCAGACTAAAGAGCAACACCATGCACGCCCCGGCGAGCAAAGACAACAATACTGCAGCAGTGCCGTTGTAGAGAGTTATAATGGCGAAGATCTTCTTCCAATGCCCTCCGTGCCAAGAGTGACTCCAAAATGTCGATATTCTTTGGCTCTTGCGACTCTTATGGTAAAAATCCCCAGCAGATCCAACACGCAATGCTGCAGCAAAATGCTCCAAGGCGCGAAACACCGGGGTCACCCTCAAGACCTCTGGGTTTACAACCTCCATCTTGGCAACGCTTTCTACCAGAGTTGGTATCATCGCGTGCAGGTCTGAATCGGATGCCCCGGAATCCCCACTGCGCCCGGGACTTGCTGCAGTGCCGTGACCGCTGCTCTGGCTGGGGCCACTGTCTTGCCTCTCGCACGGCACCTGCAAGTCCAGGATGGAATCTTCGCTGCTCGTTTTGCTCGGCCTTCCCATCTCTGCTGGCCCGGCAGGAAGAAGCGGGTCACGCTATGTCGTGCTGCCGCTACAAGGGGATCACCCACGGTCGATTACACGAGTTTTCCAGTGAGCAGCTGGAGGAAATGTCAGACGCCAGGCTAGGGTTTAAGAAATCAAGATGACAAGCAAAGGTTAATGGCCTTCCAGCGTTTTGCACGGGCCTTAAGAACTAGTGTAGGGCTTTAGGGTATACCATATAGTATACCTATGGAGGGACTATACGGGAAAAGCTTTGCTACATATTCAGATTTCTATGCAAATCAGATGTCCATGGACGGTCGCCCTTGGTTGCTGAGCTGAAAGACTGCCTGCGCCGAAGGGCACTGAACACCAAATCTGTTCAGTTACATGTTCCGGACCTGTCCTTCTGCCCATGGTCATGGACACTCGCCATGGGCCACAGAAAGATGCCCTACGTTGTCCAACAAGAAAACTGAACAGCACACTGAAACGACCTCGGGGATATATAAAGTCTAGATTCGTAAAGTCTTGAAAGACCCATGATGCCGGAACGCCGAATGCGTGCAGGCTCAACGAGCTACGCTACGACGCCATACCAGGCTAAAAATACTAAACTACACTTGTCCATACTGAACTAGATCGAGGCTGAGTCCGTTGCGGCCAGAATCCGGGCGCAAATGCTTTTGACCTGGTCTAAGCTCAGACCATCCACCTGCCAAGCTCGAGTGCAATAGCTTCAAGGCGGAAGCGAACAATCACAAGCTCAACAGCAACAACAACTCCCCGAAATCGAGCACCAACCACGAGGCACCCACCATACTGAACGCCGCGTTTGCAGTTCGAGGGAGAGTGAGGCATTCGGAAGCCCGATTCATCTGCACGTGGCCTGGTTCAAGCTGCCCAACCTTGGCATCAGCAAGAAACAACATTCATTTGCTGCCTGAAGGTGAAAACTTGCTCAGATTTCCGGGATATGAAATCCATGGTGCTACGAGAAGTTGAACGTGTCACCGAAGGAAGCTTCGAGATTCAATGCTCCACACCTCGACAGGAAGGCTGAGGATCTGAATGCACCTCCATCAGATCATGAGCTTGCCCACTTGGGCTGCAGCCACTCGCGTGCCAGCCGCGAGTTGAGATGTATGTCCTCGGACTGCTGCGCAGGAGCTGCGGTTTCCGTGCTCCGGAAAACAACTGGACGAAGGTCTTGGTGAATATTACTTCACAACTGAATTCAACTCTGTGGGGCCTTATAAAGGGCTACCGCTACTAAGTATTCCAGCTCCCATATTCCGCGGAATTGCCAGATCCATGAGTTACGTGCCATGTTGTGGGCCGACACCCATGCCCTGTAGCTCGAACTGCTTCCTGTTGAATGTGAACAAAGAGCGAAAGAAAAAGACACAAACTGCAGTGGGCAGCGGTCGAACTGATGTGATCATTAGTACCAGGGATGATACTACTATCAGGTTGTAACTCTATGAATGAATGTATGTATGTGTATATATATATAATGTGTGTTTGCCTCTGTGCATGTATGTATGCATGTATGTATGTAGCCGTGTAGCCTATGCAGTGTTGGCCTTGTTCTCAATACTCTGTTGTCTTTGTACTGCAACTTTGACACCCCCTGGAGCTGAGAATGCGAACCAAGCTTTGGCAAAGCTGGAAGAAGGAGTGGACTTCCAACTGCACGGCGGCTGAGTTGGTTCTGGGGTTTCGGCGTTTGTTCGCGAGTCAGGGTTGACTGACTGATAATAGCCGAAATGGCTAAGTATAAACTGGCCGCTAACGTGGCATAACAGCCAGGACTAGACAAGCAACATGCCGTTCATCTCGCTGTTGAATGAAGGAGATTTGTGACATGCAGAATGTTTATACTATTAGCACTCGCGCTCGACGAGGTCAGGCGAGGTTTAGGAGTTTAGGGCAGCAAGCTAGAAATGAGTACGCATACAGTCGAGCAGAAGATCTGCCCCCAAACCTCTGCTTGAGATTACTGCTACCTTTAAATTTTACTGCTATTGTGATTCTTATTCGGTCTTATGAGTATTACTACAGGTATGATGATCAGCACCATTTGTATATATTTTGTGGCTCCGGCATGGCAGTCTCCCCAGATCCAACCCCGACCCTACAAAAAGCAAACAAGTCCGGGACGAAGATCTTGGGTGACACGCAGTTCGACGACATCCGAGAACATAACATAGTCACAGTGCAAGTGGTGTTAAGGCCATTACAAATTGATGACAGATAAACTGTTACAACAACCACCACCAGCACGACGACGACGACGAC